CAAATTGCGAAATAGAGGACTGAAGAAACATTGTAATGTTGCTGCCAAACAGTTTTAAATAGTCTTGGAGAAATGTGCTACCAATGAGTTTCTTCGTTAGATTTGAGTTTCGTTTATCTCAATGAATGGTAAAGGTCATATTTCAACTGATAATAACAAGAGCCACAGAGCAGTCGATTGATGCACAAAGGAAATCAATGAATACCAATATTCCATCAATTTTAGACTGAGCAGAAGTGAGTCTAATAAATGTTCAGCTAAGACAATTGATTGGAAGAATGTAGCATCTATAATGGGTTTGAGTCTTAATAATGAGCGTTACTAGATGGCTTTATTACGTTGAATAGAGAGAAGAATAGGTAGAACTTGGAAAAAACTCAAATGATATCCGTATACGTCTTCAAAACTTTACTTATAGCTCAATATTCTTTTGTTTACCATTAACGAGGGTAATTCTCATTTTTCATCAAGTCAACTGATAATCGGACCTTTCTTTTCCATCATTCTCTCAATAGCCTAAGCAGAGTATATCTGTAGTGCTCAATCATTTTCAAGCTGGAAACTTAGGTAGATTATTAGTTTATATACTTCAAATTCAATATTTTCATTAAAGAATACTAATAGCAAAATTTTCAGAAGTAAAAGAGTCACAATGCTAGTATTCTATCATTATAACAACTATTACTCAATAGACTGAATATGGGTCTCGAGCCCATGGAATAAAAATATTCAAAAATATAATGTACTCAACACCATTTCAATGCAATTTTTCTCACAGAACAATGATGACCGAAATCAACAAAAAGAAATTTCTGGTGATAAAACGAGTCTAGCTATGGGCGAAACAACCATCCACATCTACATCCTGTTATTAAATTTTGAAAATCTTCTAGGTCTTACTTTCATATATCCGGTCGATCGTTAATCGGACAACCTGTTGCTCAATTCATTTTAATTTCACATCAGTCAACCAAATTGTCATTATTAGTTCCTGATCTTTAATCAGAATTCCAATACTTATGATAGACTTTTTTTAATCAGCAACGATATGCATATAATCAGTTTACAAATACTTAATAAAGGATCATTCGGACTCTAGCTACTCGGCTTTGTTGCTCACAAAAATATATATCCTATTCAGTTCATGACTGAACTCGATCAAGCTCAATCTTAAACATGAAATGAAACATCTTCAAAACTATACCATGCATTACGACTAGGAATACCATTTTCCCGTTAGTTTATAATAAGTTTAATTTATATGCATCCTGTAATCCATTAAATAATAAATTATATTGAATTATTCTATTTCGCCTTAAGACATCTCATGTAGACGAAGTATCCTATTTTTCACATGACATTTATCTATAAATTATATGTTACATAATATTTTCAATCAGGCAGCAGATCCTGATTTTCATTCAAAATAAGTTAATTAAAGAAAAATAAAATCTAGACTTATGCAACAGCACGATGGTAGATATAAATTAAACATTCACTTCTGCGTTTAAAACATCATTTTTCAAGAATTTCACCTAAGTTGTAGCCTAACGACATCAGAGGCTGGTGGGTGGAGAAGTAGCAATTTCAGATGTCATAAATTTTCCTTCCTATTTTATTAGCTAATGCATTAGCGCTGATATTTGTTTTTTTTTGTAGATGTTACTGATTAGTTTTTTAGAATTCATGATTAATGTTTTTCACTTATATTGTATAGATAAAATTGGAATCCCAATTCTGACTGATTTCTAGTCAACATCAGAATTCTAAACTTCTTTGGTTAAAATTAGAATTTCAATCGTGCCCGCAGCATTTACATTTGTTCATATTACGGTTTCTTGTCTATGCCTTACATATGACTCACTCCATTTCCCCCGTCATAAACATACACTATATTTTATTTGATAGGCGCAGTGAAAGAAAGAAAGAAAAAAAATAACGACCAAGCATAAATCATAGGCAAGCATGCATAAAACAAGGTGTCACATGAAAGAGAAAAGGTAGAAAAAGGGGTATGTGTATTTATTTATATTTCAAATAAGATATTCTTCGATTATCATAACTCGTTGAAATTGTGGTTTACATAAGAATACAAGAGGGCTTATTTAACATTAACTAAATAAACAAGTAATTCGTTTTGTCTAAAAGAAAAAAGACCGAAAGAGATAGTAGAAGGCAAATATTCTTAAGAAAAGTTGGAATATGATTTAATTCAAATAAAAGACATATTCAATGTAAGATTGTTTCACTTTTGTCTTGATTCGGTAAAAAGAATGTGAACTCGAAATATATTTCTAAAATAAACTATAATTTAAAAGTAAATTTTTTCTTTTACTCAGATTGCCATGATAATCACATAGTAAGATATAAGTAGGGCGGTAATGGTCACATCAGTTCATCTCTCTTGTTATCTATCACTAAATGTGGTGTCTTCTATATTATCTTAAAAGAAATATCGTCCTTGCCCTTTTTTTATCTGTTTCTATCTATACCACAATACCCAAAATAAATATTTTATTTAGTTAAAACATTCATAAAAGAAAAACAACAAACATTCAACATCATGCATCTTCGTTTACTATTATTCTTTACCTTTGTGCTTAAAATCAATGCACAAACAGCAAATTTTCCTGATTGCAAATCAGGTCCACTTTCAACATTTCCT